CTTCATGAGCACACATTTGGGCACACCATGTTTTTCCAACGGACAATTATACGTAGCATGTTCTCGCGTGAGCAAACCATCGAGCTTATTTGTGTTGGCTAAAGACGGACTGACAAAAATATCGTACACTTAATTGCTCTTCGAAATTAATATTGATTTTCTTTATTTCATTTTCCTACTTTAGGATAAAAAATATACTACTTTCTTTCACTTTACATTTGACTTTTAAGAGATTAAACAATGAATATGTCCGTTACGTTAATGAAATACATTGAATTGAGAAAATGAATGGTTGGTATTTTTTTGTTTTTATCGGCGATCATCGTCTACAGCGTTCAATTCCTCTTTTTATCATAGATCCCATCCCCACACACTTACAATACATTCGTTATTTTTTATTTAAGAACCAAAATATTCACTAGAATTAATTTATATGACAGAACAACGTTCGTCTGGTCGGCTAGTATTTTATATAATTTTGCATATAAAAAGTATGGAACTGTGTTTACCGTCTGCAAATTAATTTTGAAGGGTACAATAAAACCTTTCAATAAGGATGCACATAGAACCAACCATCTTACAACATTACAATTCTTCACTTCTTCAAATTGTGCATCCGTCGATATTGAGTGAGTTGTGTGTTACTTCCCGAACGTGCATGAAGCAAAAGGAGACGTAACTCTGTTTGTCGTTACGTTCGAGTCACCAGATATTGTGATGCTACCTTTTGACGATGTCGCACAAATAAATCGCACCGCGAGAAACAATTAATAAAATACTCAATTTACTGGGAGCCAGGTATAACAAGAGTTAAACCATCGTCTCTTAAGGACACCCTGGCCAGCTCTTATGCGGAGAAGCCCTGGATTTGGGAAACAATAATAAAAATCTGAAAACTAGGGAGGTTCACTCTAAAAACTACTGAAATTATTTTATACAACGACGAACTATCGAAACTAAAATTCAGGTATGGATCCGATTTATTTTAAATAGAAAAATATAAGGACAATACTGTTGAATACAAGTAATTGGCACGGAAAACAGATTGAGATGGTATAGAACGCACTGGGATATTATCCGAACGACATTACACAATAATTTTCCCACTGGAACAACGCAACTAAGGATACGATATGATAACGGTACGATAAGCAAGTTTAGGATAGTGACTCATGCACCTGTGTGCCAGGGAGATGATTCCACGTGGCGTGGACTGAATGATTAGACACAAAACCGGAAGAATAGAAAGAAGGAAATGAGAGACCGATGCTCTGTTTGTCACCAGATTAGGTATCTTCGGACCCCTAGTGATCAGGAAAACGTAGGATGACGCGTAAGAGTACGTCGAACACAATAGATTGGTTGATCCCGTGAGTTGAACCATAGCCAGAATACCCCTGAGCATCACTCACCGTTTTCCAGCAGCTCTTAATATCCACAGGAACACACTCTCTTGGATTATAGGTCCCTCAAACGAATCATGATACGATAAGACAACCAAAAAAATTGGCATTAAACTATAGCGCGTCTATCCCTAAGCTAGGCCACGCCATGAGTGACGCTATAAATTTCAAAAATCGCGAACCTTCCCCGAAGCGCGCCATAATACCGCCCCTTGGTCCAATCAGGTTCGCTGTTACATTCGCTTCGCTAGCGAACTCGCGATCTTCAATTGTTCTGACGATCCTGATAAAATGTATTTTAGCATTTTATTATGTTAGGATGGCTGCAGTATTATTTTCGAGAGGTGGGAATCACATCCACCTCTACTCCCTCGATATTCGGTTCCACGCCAGTAGTATAAGTTGGGGAGTTCTGGATACAGATTCCTGCACCGACGTATACCGACACTCCAGAACCTTCGAAGGTGGGTGTCCGTGCCAAGTTGCCGTCGTGAGCTCTACGATTTCTGGAAGTGACGTCATCAGGACCCCTCAATTCCAAGAATTTTCGCTCGATTCCATGTTTCCAGTATCTCTTATTCCTACTGTCTCTCCTCGAATTAGTTTTTTCAAGGTTTTCCACATTTTTATAGGTTCACTCCTGTTTCTGTCTATTATATCCTCGTAATATTCTTTTTTCTTTTCTCTTATCAGTTTAACTACAGCATTTCTCTCTACCTTAAACTGTTCCCAGCTATTATCCGTTTCCTTGTACCTTGCTTCTGTGTAGGCGTTATCCCTTTTGTCCGCCTCCCTTTTTATTTCATCTGTAAACCACCTTTTGCCCTCCCATACATCCGGGATCTTAACAATCCTTTTTGGTGCTAATATGTCCAACGTCCCTACAATATTATCAACAAGTATCTTTGCTTTTTGATTTACATCCTCATGTGACCAATGCCATGCAGAATTTTTCAAAACTGTTGCAAATACTTGCTCATCTATGAAACTATAATTCCTGGATTTATATTCTCTAGGTGTACTCTCCGTATTGCCCATTCCTAATTCTATTTTTATTCATGCATGGTCTGTTATTTTTGGTTCATGTACACTGCGGGACATTAATGCCGTCCTTGGGTGGAGCTAGTAGGAAGCGGGAGTAGGGCGACCGGCAGTAGCGACTGGTGGCGAGCAAGCCAGGCCGCCGCGTAGAGAGGGTAGCCTATTCCCCTCGCTAGGGACGGCATGTCTGTCCAGACTCCAGGCGTCCCGTATAAGAGTGTCTCAGACAATTTCATACAGATACCGCATAAGTCCCTCTCACTCGCAGTTAGTGGAGTCCCAGAGATAGCCCGCACTGTGTATAAGAGCGTCTCACTTGCGCCTAGCGCTAGTCGCCCATAAGACCCTCTCACTCGCTGGCAGCAGTGGCCTAGCGCGTATAAGAGCGTCTCACTTGCGCCTAGCGCTAGTCGCCCATAAGACCCTCTCACTCGCTGGCAGCAGTGGCCTAGCGCGTATAAGAGCGTCTCACTTGCGCCTAGCGCTAGTCGCCCATAAGACCCTCTCACTCGCTGGCAGCAGTGGCCTAGCGCGTATAAGAGCGTCTCACTTGCGCCTAGCGCTAGTCGCCCATAAGACCCTCTCACTCGCTGGCAGCAGTGGCCTAGCGCGTATAAGAGCGTCTCACTTGCGCCTAGCGCTAGTCGCCCATAAGACCCTCTCACTCGCTGGCAGCAGTGGCCTAGCGCGTATAAGAGCGTCTCACTTGCGCCTAGCGCTAGTCGCCCATAAGACCCTCTCACTCGCTGGCAGCAGTGGCCTAGCGCGTATAAGAGCGTCTCACTTGCGCCTAGCGCTAGTCGCCCATAAGACCCTCTCACTCGCTGGCAGCAGTGGCCTAGCGCGTATAAGAGCGTCTTCATATACAGTTCACTGTTTTTAATTTCAGCAGTCACCCGCGTTTCCGATAACGCTATAATTGCAGGTTTCCGTTTCCCTGCTACCTGGTGCTGTATTTCATCCTTATGTGCTAGAAGACTTTGAGCATTTGTGTACCATATCGTCTCTTCCTTCTGTGGTTGCTATTCCATCCATCCCGCTCTTTTACTTTCCTCTTGCATCGCTCTTTTATACGTTGGACATTCCCGATCGAGTGCACTATGTTCGACATTTATCTTGAGATTAAACGCTTGGTTTTTGTGCGTACAGTTTACACACTTACTCTTATTCACCGTGCATTCTCTTACGTTATGATTACCTGCGCACTTGTAGCAGGTTTCCTCTCTGTTACAATTTTTCGCTATATGGTTGTGCTTAAACTAGTAACGGTATGCCGAATAAGGGATTAAAGATAAGTTACAAACTAAGAAGAAAGGCATGCAACACAGACTTAAAAGTAGGTAGAGTGGGTTTATCTCGAATAGTACCCGGCAGTGAATTCCAAAATTTAACCCCCGATATTACAACAGAATTTTGGAAAGCAGAGGTGCGACAACGAGGGTAAATCAGAGCAGTAGGATGTGACCGTGTTACAGGACCAGACGTTGGTCTGGATTAGATGGTCTCGAGTTGACGAGAAATAAAAGTAGGCATCGCGATATAAACAGCCTGACGAATGACAATACCGAGGAAATATTGCCGCCGCTGAGAGACACTGAGCCATTTTAGGGTACGTAGATGCGGGGTAATGTGCTCGTATTTACGGATCCCTAGAATAAACCGAACGCAGGCGTTTAAGATTCGCTGTAATCTAATGTTTTCCTCGGTGGTAATGTCTAAAAATACAAGAGAACAGTAGTCAATAAGCGGAAGAATCAAGGATAAAACGAGTGGCTGTTTAAGCGCTCTACCTAAAAACTGTCCATTGGCTCTTAATTGGTAGAGGGTCTTATATGCCCTATTACAGATGCTAGTGACATGCTATTGCCAATTAAGTGTCGGAGATATGAGGACTCCTAAGTTCTTGGCCGAGTTGGCGAACGGTATTATGGAGCCATCGACGACAACATCTCGAATATCCTCGAATCTGAGGGCATTGACATACCTGGAAAAGCCAAGTATCATAGCTTTGGTCTTAGACAGGTTCAACCGAAGTTTGTTCTCTTTAGACCATTCACAAATACGCACGATGTCTTCGTTGACCTTCGCGATAAAGAGATTCACAGCGGTCGGAGCACAGTGAATATAAATTTGGAGGTCATCGGCATATTTAATTATAGAGCAGTTTTGAATTTGTTGGTCAATATTTGCAATATAGAGAGAGAAAAGGGTTGGACCCAAAACCGAACCCTGGGGGACCCCCGAAGAGACAGCTGACCACTTCGAAGTGCCATCAGAGGTGCGGACAGTCTGCTTACGACCGGTCAGGTATGACCAGAACCAATTTAACCCCTTCACATACAATGACGAGTCATACTCGTCATTCATTTTATGGGCCACTGTAGACTTTGACGAGTCAGACTCGTCAAGCGCTTTTTTCGGCGGACGCCGTGCAGTATACAATTAGATTACATAGTTGCTTACACACTGAAAGTAACATTCAGTTTAGTAGAAGTCTCGCACGGTGAATGAAGACAATATTTGAGTTTAGTAAAGATTATAAATAATCCCTGTAAAATGTATAAGTCGGATGCATTATGTGCAAGTGACGATGATGGTACAATTGGTTACTCTAGTGATGATAATGAGATTGACACCAGTCATCGAAGTGTTCATACCCTTGACTATTCAAGTGATAGTTCAAGTGAAGCTAGCCTTGTCCTACAAAATGTTCGTAAACGTGCAAGACCCATATCAAGCAGTGATGATTCTGATGTAGCAGACGATGGATGGAATTGGACAGAAGAAGAAAATATTGTAAACATAAAACAGTTTACTGAAACTCCCGGTATCAATCCATTAGTATTACGAACATTGGGAGCAAATTCGACACCTCTGTGTGTTTTAAAACAAATTTTATCTGACGACTTTTTTCAAATGATAGTCACGGAAACAAATAGATATGCAGCTCAAATGAACATGCAACGCAATACGAAAATGAGCAAGGACTGGTTTCCAGTAACGAGTGATGAAATCAAGGCATATTTTTCGTTATGTATTATAATGTCTCAGGTAAAAAAATCCAAAATAGACCTGTATTGGTCAAAACGCAGAATACTAGAAACACCTGTTTTTCCCCAAATTATGCCTCGTAAGCGTTTCCTATCTATAACGCACTATCTCCATTTTGTGAATAATGAGATGATGTCTAAAGAAGATAGAATACGAAAAGTTCAATCCGTGGTGAAATATCTAAATACCAAATTCCAACAATTATATGTTCCAGAAGAAGATGTAGTCATAGACGAATCACTTATGAAGTTCAGAGGGCGGCTGAATTACGTACAATTTATTGCATCAAAACGTGCTAGATTTGGAGTTAAATTTTACAAATTATGTGAGTCTACTTCTGGGTATTGTTCTAAGTTTAAAATTTACACAGGACAGGATAAAACTCAAGGAAGCGATATACCTGTATCACAGAGTGTAGTAATGGAGTTAGCCAAACCTATTTTAGGGAAAGGGTATACCTTGTTTTTAGACAACTGGTATTCCTCCCCAGAATTATTCAAAATTTTGAATAAAAATAATACAAATGTTGTTGGAACAGTTAGGAAAAATCGAAAAAATATGCTACACAAGCTTACATCGTACAAACTAAAAAAGGGAGACGTAACAACGTTATCCTGTAGCGGTATTCTGTGCTTACGCTGGCGTGATAGGAAAGATGTATATATAATGAGCAGCAAACATTCAAAAGCAGAAATGGTTGCCACAGGAAAAATAAGAAGAAAGAAAGGAGGCGAGCAAGAAGATGTTGTAAAACCTAGTTGTGTAATAGAGTACAATCGTGGAATGGGAGGGGTCGATAGACACGACCAATTTCTTGCAAGTTTTCCACTAATGCGGAAGTGTCAAAGGATATAAAAAAATGTTCTTTTATATGGTTGATATAGCTATCTGTAATGCATATGTCCTATATTTCAAGTTGCCTAATCCAACAAAGCAATCGATAGTAAATTTTCGATTGAATATTGCAGAAGACATGCTATACAATTTGTCTCTTCCTAATTATCCGATACGTGGCAGACCGTCGCGAAATGAATGCCCGACACGGCTACAGGCCAAACACTGGGCACATTTTCCTGAACATATTCCCTCGACTGCAAAAAAGAAACTACCTACGAAGAGATGCCGCGTGTGCTTGAAGCATAACATAAGAAGTGAAACAAAATGGCAGTGCAAAAAATGTTTAGTTGCTTTACATGTTCCAAAATGTTTCGAAATATTCCATACTATACAGAACTATTAAATTATTATTTTTTAATATTATTTAGATGTTCTTTATTAACATCAATCTGAATGAAAAATCTAAATTTCAAAATAAAATATACTCTTTCTCAGCCTTCACGTAACCGTTCAGTTGAGCGAAATTAAATGGTATTTTTCGGTCGCATCAAGTTCCATTTAATTCATATGTCAAGGGGTTAAGGTAGACCTGGAAAAATTTAAGAGTGCAAGCTTATTAATCAGCAAAGCATGATGCACCGTGTCAAAGGCCTTTGAGAAGTCGAAAAGCACCAGCACAGTGACCATTCGATCGTCTATGGCCCGGTGAACATCATCAGTGAGCCCGATGAGAGTGTTCTGCGTAGATCCGCCTGAGATGAACCCAAACTGTGATTGATCAAGATACCTGTAGCGCTTGAGATAATCTAACATGTCCTTACGAACTATGCGTTCCAGCAACTTTGAAAATTCGCAAAGGAGCGAGATCGGTCTGAAGTCATTAGACTCTGATGGATTGGGCTTCTTCGGCACAGGAACAATAATAGAGCTCTTCCAAGCCATTGGAAATGTAGACGTAGAAAGCGAGGAGTTAAAGATATCCAACAATATTGGAAAGAGAGATAGAGCACAGTGCTTCAAAAAGAGCGCAGGGAAGTTATCAGAGCCAGAAACATGCGAGTCGGTGAATCTCATATGAGGTAAAAGACACTCGGGAGTGACATGCTTGAAATAAAACTTTGAGTCATCAAAGCACATGTTCCTACTTAATACCTCAGGAGGCTCAAGAGAGTCCGAACTAAATGCTGAACAGAAGAAGTCATAAAGCTCGTCAGGCGACGATGTAATAGCGCATGATTTCTTAGAACTCGATACTACACCGAGTTTTTTCAGCTCTTGCCATACCTGCCTGGAGTCCTTCAGTTGAGCAAGACGTAAACTACAATAATTAGCTCTGGATTTAGACATTAGCACCTTTACCTGATTACGTAATCGACGGTATGCAGTACGATCAGCTTCTGAGCGAGTTCGTTGAGCTTTAGTTCGCAGTCTATTGCGAGATCGAATCAAGTCTCGAAGTTGATCATTTAACCAGGGCGCAAGAGTTCGCTTAATATTGATTTCCCGCCAAGGAGCAAATCTGTTTAAACAAATAGACAACTGATTATTTAAATACTCGAATTTGCACTCAGCGGACCGACACTCTAGCAAAGGGGACCAGTCTAAGTTTAATAGTTGCATTTGAAAACGAGGATTTTGTAACCCACGCCACATCTGCGTCCTAACAGTAGAAGCAGAGTCAGAAGAACGTACTAATCGGAATTCGTATTTTATATAAATTAAATCATGAGCTGACAGAAAGGGTAGAGGATACTGACCATGGCTCCGAATTTTTTCGGTAGAGTACACAACACATAAATCTAGCTAGGTAGAAGAAGTTGCAGTATAATGAGTAGCACAGAACGGTACTAGATGCGATTTGAAAGAGTCTCAATATGTAAGTTGTATCAAAGTTATCGGTACATAGGTCAGTATTCCAATCGCCCATAATGATTTTAGAGACGTAGTCTTGGCAGACGGAAGAGAAAATATGCTCAAGATGGTTAGAGAAAGCAATTTTTGGTGGTCTGTATACAACATCAACCAAAAGCTTGGCAGACTCAGGTCTCGAAACTTCGATGAATAAGAATTCAGGACGCGAAGTATAAGTTGATGATGCTGATGAAGTGATAATTTTTGCAGAAATCAGGTCACGAACAAAGATACAAACTCCACCACCTTGCTTGACAATTCTATCACAACGAAAGAGACGAAATCCTGGCAGACTAACAGCGCTGTCGTCTATGTGCGGCTTGAGCCATGATTCTGAGATCAAAATTAAATCATAGTGACTATTACCGAAGTAGTTAAGGAATTCGTCAAAATGAGCCGCAATAGACTGAGCATTGACATGACAGATATTTAGAGAGTAGGCAGGACGAATAAGCTGAGACGATGTTGGCGGTGGAGTTTCAGAACTTCACAGTAAACGCTCGATGTCCTCCAGGTTGTTGATCTCAATAATAGTCGAGTTATTGTCTTTCTTAACTGTAACAGTACCATTACGAACCCAGACATACTGGTAATTCTTGGTTCTTGCAGCATCCCGAGTAGCACGGAGAAGTTTATAGAGATCAGACGGTAAATACTCATTAATATAGATACGAGAGTCAGAAAATGAAGCATTGACTTCTTTCGCAGTGAGAGTACCTTTAAGACGTTTTGAAGTCAAGACTGCATTACGTAATTCCGAAGAAGAGAGACCGATTCGACATTCGAGATATCCGAGGCAGTGCATGGATGCTTAGAGAACCGGGTTTCCAAAGAATGCATTCTGTCAGTAATTTCTTTATCGTGATTAGAGCAACGAGTTTCAAATGCTTCCAAGCGATCCACTAGCACCCCCTGTTCGCGTGTTAAATTTGCAGTTGTCTCTTCAACTGCAGCAATTTTATCCGATAAGGAGTTTAGCTTGTTGAGACACCCACGAATATCAACCTTAAGTTCATCTAGATCAGCTAGTTTGTTCTTAATGTGCGAGACATCTCGCATAGCAACATCCATGCCGTTAATTTTTGAGCTTAAATTAGACACAAGAGTACTAAGTGAAGCAAGTTGCGCACAAATATTCGTAGTACCAGCGGATGACGTAGCAATTGTGGCACTCGGCGTCTGATAAGTAAAGCCAGCATTTTTAGCGCACGCAAAACAGATTATAACTTTCAAATCCGGAAGAGTATTAACACGTAACTGTTTCAACGGACACGCACGATGAAATCCATGGGTAGCAATAGCACATAATCTACACAAATCCTCGGTTGCAACAAATCTAGAACAGAGCCCACAGTTGACGGGTGGCATCTTGAACACGCGCACACAGCTGAACTAACGTAAGAGATTGGTATCCTATGATATTGCGGTATAGAAGTGAGCACACCTGAGCGAACAGGCAAGCGGAGCGCAAGTAGATGGAGGGGATGACTAAACGTTATTGTCACTTGAAGATCACTGAGGTTGGAGATAGAGCTTAAGGCTCTAGTGATAATGACAACAGGAACAAACAGACAGCGTTCACCCGGTAGAATGTAGAAGGTTGTACAGGTGATGTTATCCACAAGTATTCACCAATCACTGTAGTCCGCATACCATGCCCGGAACAACCAATCAGTGCGATGATACGCGATGAAAGAAGCCGCCAAGTAGTTGAGGAGTCGTGAAGAATTGTGGAGGTTAGAAAAAGCCACCTCAGATAAAATGCTTCCAAAACCGTGACTTAATTATGAGAACCCTGTCGTATTAGCTCAAACAGTGCCAGAGCCACGGAGGAAGCCGAATAAACTGCAACTGACGCCTAGAGGGCAGAGAACAGCAGAAAAATTCCAAAAAGGTAGAAAGCAATTGACAGGCGTGCAAGTCTACTTACTTACAAGGAAACCCCCCCAACCCGACCCCACCGATTTCAATAATTTTTTGATATGTTGTAGTACTCGATAAAATAACAGACACGTATTTTTTTTTTGTGCTGACATCCACTTTAATGGGGTGAAAACGACCCTTGAAATTCACCCCCGAAAATCGTTTTTTCATCATATCTCGACTTCTAATTAATATTTTTTAATAAAAACAAGTGGAAAATATTTGTCATAAGAAGTCGAAGATATGAGGTGTGTTTCTGACCCAAGGGGTTGCAACCCTTATTTTATATTTTGAACTATATTTTTATATATATATATATATATATATATAGAGAGAGAGAGAGAGAGAGAGTTTATATATATATATAT